CATCAGTACAGAGGCCCCAAAACAGGAAAAACAGAACAAAAACAAGGAAAAAGAAACATCACCAATACAGATAGGCCAAAGCTTCAGTCCTTGTCATTCCTGGTGGCTCTCCTGGCTGACAAGCAGCTCCCAGCCAGAGGGTGACAAGGTTGCAGAAATGCTGGAGCCCTGTTTCTCTTGCCTTCCCCACAAGCTTTCAGAAATGCTAACAGACCTGGGGAATTCATCTTCACTCCTGTCCTTGGAGCCTGTTATGTGCAGAGTCTTTGGCTTGAGGCTGCTGGATGGAGCCTGGATGTGGATTTTTTTCCCCTCCTTGGTCTCACCTGGGAGCATTCAATGCAGGGTGACCCCATCACCATGGGGTTTTCTTTACAGCTCCCATAAAAGTACATCCTTAAGCAGGGCCTTGCATTGCCCTGGCAGCCACTTGGAGCCTGGTGGGAGGGCAAAAGAAGGGGAGAGCAGCAGTCCTGGGCCAGAAACATGGAGAGGGGCTCTGCCAGCTGCTGGAAGACAGGGAAGGGTTTAAGGTGGTCTAGACCCATCAGCAGCCACAGCAAGGATTGTGGGGGTTTAGGCCCAGCTGGTACCAACCAGGGTGCTGCTCACTCACCCCCACCTCTCACTGTGGGATAGGGAATGGAAAATCCAACTAAAAGCTCCTGGATCAAGACACGGACAGGGAGGTTTTAATTCCTCAGTTATGGTCATTGGCAAAACAGACTCAAGTTGGGGAGGAAAAAAAAAAATCTATCAGAAGAGGAGAAAGACAACAGGACTAGATCTTAAACACCTTCCACCGCCCACCACCCGCTTCTTCTCAAAAAACTCTTTCCTCTCTCTCAGCAGCACAGGAGCATGGGGGGTGGGGGCTTAGGATCAGCTCCTCACACCTTGTCTCTGCCTCTCCTTCCTCCTCAGCAGGAGGGCTCCTCACAGCCTTCCCCAGCTCCACCGCAGGGTCTCTCCCACTGGACAAGAGTCCTTCACCAACCCTTCTAATGTCCTCCCCACCAGGTGCAGTCCCTCAGGAACAGACTGCTCCAGCACAGGCTGCCCCACAGAGCCATCAGCTACTCCAAGAACCTCCCAGGGCATGGGGTCCTCCATGGCTGCAGGCCCACATCTGCCCCACTGCAGTCCTCCATGGCTGCAGATCCATGTTTGCCCCAGCAGGAGCCTTCCCAGGCTGCAGATCCACATCTCCACCATACTCCTTCACAGGCTGCTCCACTCTGCTCCTCCATGGGTTGCATGGGGAAATCTGCATCCCCCCACAGGCTGCAGGGAAACCTCTGCTTAGGTACCCCCTCCTTCCTCACTGCCCTCAGGGACCCCAGTATTGCTCCCACCACCCCCACCTCCCCTACCCTGCAGGTCTTTTTGCAGTTTCCTTTTCCCCTTCTTGAATGTGTCACTCCCAGAGGTGCCTCCAACTTCCCTCATTGTCTCAGCCTTGGCCAGAGATGAAGCTGGAATTGGAGCTTCCAGCAGCTTCTCACAGGAACCAGCCTTGTGGGCCACCCCCCTGCCCCAAACCCTGCCCCACTAACCCAAACCAAGGATTTTGGGGTACAAGAAATACAAATAGTTCACTTCTGGGACCACCCCAGTTTTCTCTGCTTCTCTCCTGCAAAGCCCATTCCTGGATCCATAACAAAACCTATTCCTGCTGCTTCAGGAATCCTCCCTCCCATAGTCCTGGTTGAGAGAACAACAGACACAGTGAAAACAGTGTCAATAGAAAACATTTAACCAATTAAACAGTGATATCATTAAACCAGTGTAAATATAAAACATTTCAACAATTAAACAGTGAAACAAACAATTAAGCAGTGTAAATATAAAACATCTCAACAATTGGACAGCGAAACAGTTGAAACCATTAGTGTCAATATAAAACATGTAAAACAATTAAACAGTGAAATGGTGAAACAATTAAACATTGAAAATATAAAATGTTGCAACAATTAAACAGTGAAACAGTCAAACAATTAAACAGTGAAAATATAAAACAACTCCAAAACTGCATTTCCCCTATCCCCCTACTATTAAGAAATTCTAAGGCTAAAAATATAGGTTTCTTTGAATATATAATATATAATAGATTATATTAAAACATCTAAAGAGGCAGACTTGCTGAATTTATAGACCTTTTCTTTTTCCTTAGGCAGAAGTCAGGAGGGAGGTTGAACTCAGAGAATCCAGAAGGGACTTCTATTTACCTACCAGCTCATTATCACACTCTGCCTACCAACTACTCTAGACAAAAAAAGGAAAGAGAAATGGAGAGACAAAGGGACGAGGAAATTGCACTTAGTCTATAGAGTCCTAAGCCACCAGGAATCTCATATCTTGGGTGGGATTTAACAGGTGCTGTCCTTTAGTCCTGAAGGAACATTTGCCATGTCCATTTTCATGGGGTAAAACAAAAAGAAAGTTCACATTTCTTCCTTTAAAAGTAAAAAAATAAGTAGTGCTGTATTTCTGCTCTTGAGGAAACTCATGGAGTAGAGACTTCTGATGTGTCCTTTGAAGAGATATTCAGCAGTTCCTGTAGTGGTGTTTCTTTCTCCCTCTGGTGTTCCTGTGAATGATCTCATGATGAAGCTGGCAAAAGTCACTGTGGATGTCTCTGTCTCAAGAAAATCTTGTCCCTTATAAGTCCCAGCAGCATGGGGGAGCATCCTACTGAAGCCTGTGTGGGCTTTGAATGGGTGACAGGTCTCTTACAAGAGAGATGCCAAACTGCTCCAGTCCTTCACGTCCTCTGGCAAAGGGGCATCGTTGAATTCAAACACCTGCTCCATGGTGACAGTGTTGGTGAGGCCATCGTTTGTCCCTTCATCCCAAGGATTCTGCAGAAAAGCAGTGGCCATGAAGGTTTCATCAAAGCCTAGGGTGTTCTGGTTGGCCTCGGTGAGGACCTGCTCCTGGAGACCCTCACTGTGCTGCCCATGGACCGTCAGCTCCAGGTCATGCGTGATGGGGCTGATGGGAGGCAGAAGGTCCAGATCCCCAAAAGTTGACAAGTCTGCATCCAGGTTGGTGTCAAAGATGGCTTCCCAGTCCAAGTCACCTTTCAAGGATCCCAGCTCCTTTTGCACTTCCTGGCTCAGCAAGGCAGAGTTGGAAAACCGAGCTGCCTTGGCCGGGCGGTTGGGTGAGAACTGCTGGCGCTTCTGCCCTGCTTTGCCATCAGCTGGATTCCAGCTCTGGCTGCCAGTGATTTCTTCAAACTCCTTCAGCAGCTGCTGGGACTCCGTGTTGACATTGAAGATGTTAGTGGGGGTGCAAACTGGAGTAGCTGGGCTGGCATCACAGCGTGGTTCTTGCTGGGCTCTCCTTGTGAAGGCCGGGTGGATCTGCGCTGGGGTCAACCTCCGCTTTTTGAAGGCACCTTTCTTGAGCTGGTCAGCATAGAGGGGATCAATCTTCCAAAAGCCTCCTTTCCCAGGCTCATCCTTCTCCCGGGGCACCTTGATGAAGCACTTGTTCAAGGAAAGGTTGTGCCTGATGGAGTTCTAGACACAAGAGAGGAAAAAAAACACAAGGTTGAATGCTTGTCTGCTGCCCCAGCAGCACCAGCTGCGTGTGGGTGCTGGTGGAGAGGCACCTGTTCAGCCAGGACCTTTGGGAAAAGAAGAAAGCAGAAATGGCAACA